ACGCAGTGGATAGAAACATTAGGTTTACCCTGGAAGATGTGAAAGATGACAGCCTTGCATCCCTAAACTGTACGGGTCACATCATGGAAGACAGACAACTCAACAAGAAAGTAAACAGGAAACCCACACAGACCCACCAACACCTCTGTTTTGACTCACATCACCCACTAGAACACGAACTAGGCATCATCAGAACCCTCCAAACACGAGCAGAAACCATCTCTACCACCATAGGAGGGAAGATGAGAGAACAGTGACATATAAGAACACACCTGAAGAACTGTGGGTATCCCAGATGGGCTTTTTAAAGAATCAACAAGAGGTCTGCTGAGAAGGAAGAAAACAGAAGAAGGAACATTGTCATTCCATATCTTGCTGCAGTCTAAAAAATTCAGGAGGAGTTTTAACCAGCACCAAGTTCCTGTGAATTGCAAACCCTGAGACAAAACAACAGTTCACATAAAAAATAAGACACCCACAAACAAGGCCAACAAAGTGGTTTATGCTGTTCATTATAGTGAACACCTGAACCTTGAAGAGATCAAGCAACCGCCACACAGGCACTTGTCTCAACACAAGGGGGGCCAACACCTCAGAACAGGGCTCAGCCCTTCCCCTACAGCTGAAGGCTATAGGACACTCATCTGAGGACAACAACGTCCACATTCTGGCCAAGGAAGAAAGATGGTTTGAGAGAAGTGTTAAGAAAGCCATCTTTTTTAACCTGGAAAAACCATCTCCAAAAAGAGGAGGTCTTAGACATAACCAGGGGTTGGCAACCCAAACTGCTCAAAGCAAGCAAAAATGTAAAAGTATTATATATGCCTCTTATGGCAACACAGGCTCTAGGTGTATTATCCCACTATAGGAAAGGACTATGTTGGCTTAAATATATAATAATCATTCATGATTAAATGTGCCGCTTCACCTTGAGCCGCTTCACCATGCGGTTTAAGTTTTGTTGCATTGATGAAATTATAGAAACACAATAAAGGAATCTTTCTATGGTGGATGTTTTTCTGTTGGGAGGAGTTGATTGAGTCACGAGGAACCAAGCAGGAACTGACATCCGTCAGAGCAGAGCTCTCTAACCCTGAAATCCTGCATCCTTTGTCACCAGCATTCCATGGTGTTATTTTTTTCCCCTTTGGGATCCATGGTCCGAGACACCCCTGCAAAGTATTCTCGGACATTCCATATGTAATCATGGGCTGTTGGGGATTCTCCTCACCACTCTGCTATCTACAAACCTAAAACTAAGGTTACAAAACTGATAACAATAATTTAAGTCACAAGTCGTATAACTTAACCTAAACCTAAAGAAGTCTATGGTGAAATACATCTAGCATCACCTTGGATCATATGATGGATCACAGAATATGGTTTATGGTGGTTGTTGCAAATCAATCAAAACATTTCAGAACAAAGGTTACGCCAGTACTTACAATAATGCTAGATTTATTAACAGTGTTTTACTTTTAAATTGTATAATGTTAACATTTTCATAAATTATCAAACATGCTCATTGTGCTCTCTATTGTTGATCCATCCACTAAATCATTGAACTATTTTGGACCAAATTCGATGTTTTAATGTCTAAAATCGTGGTTGGCAGAGGGATGATCTGATGAGATGCTAGCAACAATGCTAGTTGATATTCTCTTTTCTAGCCAAGGCTTAGCTAAAGTTATCGAGCCCTGCTCAATCCCAGTCTAAACCTTTTAGTTATTATTTAAACGAGTGAGCTACACCTCTCCTCAACTGCTCCTCATGTCAGAACACAGACCAAGAACTGGACCAAGAACTTCAGTCAGACAGACTGATGTGTTTTACAATAGCCTTTATAGACAGCATTTCAAATCTTCGACTCAGCAGCTAAGACAAAAAAGGCGGGAATTTCTGCAGAAGGGAAAACTCAGGTTAGTGACCACGTAAGTTTCCAGAAGGTGAAGCCAAAGCTGGTGTTGATGAGGTAAACAGGAGTCCACACCAGAAGATTTGATATCCAAAGAGGTACCCAAGGGAAATCCAAGTCTGGGTCAGGGGACAGATCCAGGGTCGTAAGCAGGCAGAATCTAGCAGGAGTTCAAAGGCAGGTCAGGCAAACAGATCAGAACAGGGGCAGGCAGGCTCAGAGGTCCAATGGCAAAAACTAGTCAGAATCAGGCAATTAGAGCAACACAAACACTCTGATAATCTTGCACTAACGACTGGGAGCAAGTACCGTATTTTCACGACCATAAGGCGCACCGTAATAAAAGGCGCAGTCTCAGTTATGTGTGTCATTTCTGTATTTAACGCACACATAAGGCGCACCAGATTATAGGGCTCGGGTTTTATATACAGGTGCATGTCCTCTACTACGTTTAAATACTCTACTGCGTATTTAAAAATAGAACGGGAGCAAAACTGAGTAAGTTTGTGCTTTATTCATGTATTTATTACAAAGTGTTAATCAAATCTGGGAACTGGCCATGGGACAGACACATCACTGATGACACAGAGCGCTGTGATCACTCCTCTGAAACAGTTTATTAACGCCTAAATTAACTTAAAATGCAGAAATCTGCCGGCAGAATATGTTTGCTTTTATTATCCTGGTGCCTGCAGTTTTGGTTATTTAGATGAAAAACACCTACCAGCCGCCGCGGTGAACTGCGAGGAGGCGACCCGGCCAGAGGCTGCTCTTGAATTAAGTTTTCAGGTGGAAAAATAGAGCGGGAGCAAAACTGAGTATGTTTGTGTTTTATTCATGTGTTTATTACAAAGTATTAATCAAACCTGGGAGCTTTACGTGACACAGACACATCACTGATGACACGGAGCGGTGTGGTCACTCCTCTGAAACAGTTTATTAACGCCTAAATGAACATGAAATGCAGAAATCTGCAGGCAGAATATGTTCACTTTTATTATCCTGGTGCCTGCAGTTTGGATTATTTTGATTAAAAACACCTACCAGCCGCCGCGGTGAACCCGGAGGCGACCTGGCCAGAGGCTGCTGTTGAATTAAGTTTTCAGGTGGAAAAATAGAGTGGGAGCAAAACTGAGTATGTTTGTGCTTTATTCATGTATTTATTACAAAGTATTAATCGAACCCATCAAAGTCATCATCCTCTGTTTCTGAATTAAACAGCTGCGCTAAATCAGACATGCCAATTTCCCCTTCTTTGCTGTCAGAGTCACTTTCCGCGCCGGGCGGCTCCTTGGAAATGATGCCGGCTTTTGTGAAAGCTCAAACAACAGTGCCAGCAGACACGTTAGTCCAAGCATCAATAATCCATCCGCAAACGGGGGCGTAACTTGCCCGGCGCTGACTTCCACTTTTCGTGAAACTGTGGACTCTGTCTGTCATCCATCGCTCCCACGCCGCTCGCAGCCTTACTTTGAACCGATATGGAGCGGTTGAAGTTCCTTTGTCAGACCCCACGGGATAACAGCGAGCACAGCGTTTATTTGTTTCACCTTGTTTTTCACATCGGCTGTGAGATGGGCACGCATGGAGTCACAGATTAACAGCGATGGTGATGCGTGGAAAAAAACCACCTGGTCTCCTCACATACACTTCCCTCAGCCACGCTTTCATCATCTCCTCATCCATCCAGCCCTTTTTATTTGCCTTAATAACGACTCCAGCTGGAAAAGTCTCTTTAGGCAAAGTCTTTCTTTTAAAAATCACCATAGGCGGCAGTTTCTGTCCATTTGCGTGGCAGCCAAGCACAACAGTAAACGACGCCTTTTCATACCCCGTTGTGTGTATCGCTACCGTCCTGGTCCCCTTCTTCTCCACCGTGTGATTCACCTGGATGTCGAAAGTGAGCGGCACCTCGTCCATGTTGGTGATGTGGCTGGGCTGGATGCGTTTGTCGGCGTTTGCTGTAGAAGGAGTGGAAGCTTGCTAGCTTTTCATTATAATCTGCCGGAAGTTGCTGAGCAACTGTAGTCCTGGTCCGGATGGAAAAATTGCAACGAAAGCACCACGACGGACCTCCTTGAAAATGTTCAATTTTCATTTCTTCTGCTAGCGTTACTGCTTTTAGTCGAACAGCGACCGTCGAAACGCTGGCCCCACTCGTTCTTTTGAGGAACATTTTGAGGGAAAAAAAGACGTTTATATGCGCCTTATAGTCGTGAAAATACGGTAGTTTAAATAGAGTTAGGAGCAGGTAGTTGAGGTGAACAGTAATAAGAAACTGGGTGGAGCTAGGCAGGTGAATAGAATGAACCATTAAGCCAGTCATCAGGGCCAAGATCAGGACACCTCAAGCTTCAAAAAAGAGAGTGTGCAACCCTCTCTTTATGACATGTCACGTTAATTGAGGACACTAATGTGAACAGGTAGAGAACTGGTTTCACACCTTATTCAGGGACTTATCAGTATGATCCATAACGCAGATTTTTCCCACCAGTCTGCTATGTACGTGAACCCTAATGCCACTAGAGTCAAATATAAATCTAATTTTACAGAATTCTATCTTAAATGTAAAATCCCAGGATGTATACCTTACCCTAACATCACAGGATTCATTCCTAAATATAACATCACTAGATTCATACCTACAGTAAGCCTAACATCACAAAAATAGTACCCAAAAAGAGTAAAAACTAATAACTAAAAGTAAGAAATCTGTGAAATACATAAAAAAAAAACCCTTGGGTTGGTCACAGATTTAGGTGTAAAATAAAAAAAAAAAAAATTTATACTGACCTATGACTCCTTTTTTGTTCCTATGTCGACCTTAAGGTGTCACCATTGCGCTTTAAACCATGTCACCTTTGGTGTTACCTTTTATAAATACTTTTTTGAAATATATAAAAAACACTTAACCTATCAGGGGTCTGGGGAGTAAAGTCTGGTAGTCTTCCAGGCTTATACAGTAATACAGATTTCACCTTCTGTGTTGTGTTTAGATTGATCTGACTTGACGGTGCTCAACCGCGACACCCAGTGGTTTCCTAAGATTGTATCATCACATATGGCACTGAACATGGATAATTTAAAAGGCAGCCTTTATTTAATGGGTCAGACCTGCTGCAGCCGCTTTATTTAATGAGCATACAATTTTCTCTTAAGCTGCTTTAGTCCTTGTAGAGCTTAGAAAGGCGGGCCAGTTGGAAACCTGAAAGAAAATGGACAGTCCTGTGTAACACAACCACAGGAGGAGTTAACCTGTAGCAGAGTATTTGGTTAATCTTCTGCTGCGTCCAGTCAGGAGCTTCAAAGTGCTCCCTCACAGACTATTTCCAGCCAGTTTGAAGTTTATGTCTCTTAGGGGAGCAAAGCCTCACTCAGGGAATGAAAATATCAGTCTTATCCAAAAAGCTGTGGTGCGTCCACAAGCAGCTGCTTCTCTTGCTAGCTCCACTTGTGTTTCTGCCTTTACTTTTTACTCTGCCAGAAAAGGTAAGTTATTAACACTGTATGTTAGTTTATTTTTATCTATAGTCTGTTGAAGAAATTGTGTAAATCGGTTAATATGAAGGAAGATGACATTGAGTCATTTCTTGAGCTTTAATAAGAGTCAACTGATTGTGACTAAATGTTGGCTCACTCATTTGGTGATCAGTATTGTGTGCCCTGTTTCACTAATGGTATAGATTATTTTTCATGAAAGTCATTTTCAGACAGAAAAATATCATGGCTCTTAAAACAGGGTTAAATAATCTGTCTAGTTTACTTAACAAGTCGATTTAATGGTTGCCTTAAATTAAAATGTTTGAATTATGTTTGAATGTACTTGTAGTATAGCATAAGTATAAGGTATATACTTTCTGGGATAATTGTATTATTTCTTACCTTGTATTTTATTACACAACAAATTAATCACAGCAATAATAAAAAAAAAAATAGCATCAAAATGTTCCCCATAAGCTGATGTTTCTCTATTAACTTCTGAGACTAATTCTCCTTCACTTTAAACTTGCATAAACATAAAGCCTTGTGGCAGATTAAAATTATATATATCATTGTATTGTTGTGGCAGCGACATTTAAAAATGCATGTTGTTTCTCTTTCAGGAGGGAAAATGTCTTTACGTGGTGATACTAATGGCTACCTTTTGGTGCACGGAGGCCCTGCCTCTGGCTGTCACTGCAATGCTTCCAGTGTGCCTCTTCCCAACGCTGGGTATTCTCCCTGCCAAAAAAGTCTGTCCCCAGTACTTCATTGAGACAAACTTCCTCTTCCTCAGTGGTCTTGTGATGGCATCATCAATAGAGGAGTGGGGACTGCATCGTAGGATAGCTCTGAAGGTCCTTAGTATTGTCGGAGTTAAACCCGCTTGGTGAGAATATCCGTCATCTTGAGATACTTCTCAAACCACATTTGGCTATAGTGAAGCAAATTTTTTTCAAGAAAAATAGGATATTTCCAAAAAGTGAAGAATCAAACTTAATATTAGGATGATTGTTTCTTTCAAGGATTAAAGTGAAGTTTTACAAACTGGAAACTTTGTTGATTTCATAGGCTCATCTTGGGGATGATGTTAACCTCGTCCTTCCTTTCTATGTGGCTCAGCAACACTGCCACAACAGCCATGATGCTTCCCATAGCCAATGCTATACTGGAGAGCCTGTTTGGAGACCTGGAAACCTTGAAGCAAAAGTGCAAATCCCCAGAGGATCATGACAGAGGTGTAATAAATGGTAAAGTGTATATTTGCAAAGTGTTTGTAACAGGGAATCAAGAAGGTCTCCATCAACTTCACCTAACTTTAGAAATACCTATTAATACCTATTAAGGTATCAAGGCTATAAAATATTGCTTATTTTGATGATCTTAGAAAGGATATTATTTTCTTCTGCTTTACTGAGCTTTCAGCATTTCTCGTGATGACATTTCACAATCTTATAACTCTTCCAGCAGCGGGGAGTGGGGCAAAAACTCAGAATAGGCCACTAAGTGCCTGAAAACAAACAGTCTGATTCAATCAAGTGACAAGTGTGATTATATGGTTGCACATTTATTTGTGGATGGGGTACATATTTCCTAGAAAAGTTGGTGGAAAACACAAAATGAAGAGAGAACAGAAAAAGCAACCTTAAGAAGTATTCAAAGCAAAAGTTGTTCATTTACTTTGAAATTGGTAAATGTGGGTTTAAGGATTTAAATTGCTGAAGAGTTTACAGACAAAGACAACATATAAATTGACATGTTTAACCTTTCCTTCATGACACAATAATATATAATCGAATATATGAACTTTGTGCAGTTTTCAGTAGGAATTGTCCTGGGATTTAGAGTTAGTCAAGCATTGGATAGTAATTGATTGATGTTGTTCCATCTAAGAGTTTTGTTAAGGACTGGAAAAACTGGTTCCCTTAAAAAAACTTGAGTTAATCATAATTTCAGTGATCCTTATTCTTGTAAATATCAAACCAACCAAAGCTGTGTCTCAATTTCATTTCTTTTAGGCCAGACATCACTGAAGCTCCATTCGCTGCCATCAGAGCCTTCTGAAAAAAAATCGCTATCAATGGATGGGTAAAGAGCGCAGAGAGCGAGTTCATTTTGGTAGTGATTTCTTAGAGGAATTCCTGAATATAATTGGAATTCAGAAAATATGTGTCAGATGGAGGGTTTTATCATATGGTGTGTTCAATTCTCTCTCAAAGGTCAGAGTTTCAGTTCTTTATTGAAAATAAATATCACCACATGCTTCTTATATAATCCCTTACACTGGAAGTAAATAACCAGATCAAAAGTCTAACATGGCAGAATAATTCAAGCAATACCATAGAAATATTACAGTAGCATTTGTTTTGAAATAGTCTCCAGGCAGTATTTACTCAATATTTATTGTGATTAATCAGTAGTCATAAGAATTATTGGGTGAATATTGTCTATTGTGGCTTTTAAACTTTAGAAAGTGATTAAAATAAAATGGTTTAAATTGATCACTTGCATGATTTAGTTAGTAGCTTAATAGAATGTCAGTGAATAACAATAAATGTCAATAACATTGTTGTTTTTATGGAAAATGTTTAATTATGTCTTTAAACTTTAATAAGGATGGATGGTGTGGAACCTACAGATGTGAGGACACCTGAGGAGATCCAATCAGAGTCACAGTATCAAATGAAAGTTTGGAAAGGATTCTTGATTTGTATTCCCTATGCTGCCAGTATAGGAGGTACAGCCACGCTGACAGGCACAGCACCAAACCTTATCCTAATTGGACAGCTGAAAAGGTACAGGTTTTGCTTAGGATATGTTTTTTCTACAGGAAATGACTCTGTTAACCTATGATTATGTTTACCTTTACAGCTACTTCCCAGACAGTGATCTTATCAACTTTGGCTCTTGGTTTGCCTTTGCCTTCCCCCTCATGCTTCTCTTTTTGTTTTTGGCATGGATATGGATCTCTTTTCTATACGGGGGACTTAATACGAGGTATTGTCAGATTTTAAACTCATATTTCCTCTTTTATGTGAAAATATAATTATCTATTATCACTTCTGTTGACATATATTTTAAGCCTTTTATTTATTCCAGGTTGTGCTTCACAAGACATGACCACAGAGCCCAGGCAGAAGCTAGAGCCAGAGCTCTAATTAAAGAAGATTACAAAAAACTGGGACCCATAAAGTGAGGATACGTGTATGCCATTTAATCAAATAAGAATATCACGTAAATACATTTAGTTATTTTTCGCTTTCTAATCTCTTTTACTTTCAGTTTTGCAGAAGGGGCCATCTCTTTCTTTTTTATTTTATTTGCTGTTCTTCTTTTCACAAGAGATCCCAAATTTGTTACTGGCTGGTCGGTGTTTTTCAAAAAAGGGTAGGACATTAGTAAAATTAAAAAGCAGGTTTTACTCCCCAGGAGTGTCGACTCATTACTTTTGGCTGCTAATTGTCTTTGATTTCTCCTTTTCCTGCAGGTATGTCTCTGATGCTGTCACTGGTGTCATCATTGTGTCCATTTTGTTCTTCTTCCCATCACAGAAACCTTCTCTGAGTTGGTGGTTTGACCCAAAAGGTTGGTCACATCCTAAAAGTTTATATCTATGACTGGATTTCTAGGACATTTTTAAGCACTCTTTCCTTTGGTAGCTGTTGCAAAACACACAAAGCAGCCTGAAGAATGTTAATAATGTAGATTAGAGAGCCTTAGTAAATTTCCCACCTGGAAGAGAAACTGTACTTTCTCTGTTTCTGTGATTATAGTAATCCTGCAAAGCTCTGTAGCTGCACTTTGATTTTTCTGTTTATATATGTGTGAGAACTAGCAATTCACATTTCCTAGTTTAAAGGAACATTGCATCCTTTTTTGTTCTTTATGTCACAGTTGATTTTTATTAGATTAACAAACAATAATAAAAGAAAAATAAAACCTAATTAATGCAAAAAGTTGTTCTTAGATGAAGAATTTACTTATTACAAGAAGAAACACTACCCAAAATCAACCCCATGTACAGCTGTATTGATTTTAGCCAGATCTGTTCAGTCAAGAATTTACTAAAGTAGAACCTCTGAGGGCTACAAAATCTTTAAAGCAACACATCATTCCCAGATCTAAAGAAAGATTAAAAATAAAATAAAAAAAAGTTGCATTTATAGTGGGATAAAAGGGAATTGAAAGGGTTTGCACTCAAGCCACTAACTTGACTTAACTTAGCATGACCCACCTGTTTAAACCCAGACACAGACTACAGAACTGTATCCTAGCACTGTTGCAACTAAAGGTCTGGGCACCATTTATCTACACCCTGGAATTTGCTTGCAGTATGAATTACTGCCTTTCCTATTGAGCCAAAAGCAGGAAGTGAGGATGTAATGTAAAGACGGTGTGTTTGAGGAAAAATGTGAAAGAGGAAAAACAATAGAAGAGCATGGCAGTGAATACAACAACTTTTGGAAATGTTAGTGAAGTTATATGGACTACAGTTTAAAACTAAAGCAGTTATGGAAACCCTGTGATCATCACTGCAGGTTTCAGCTTCTTATAGGTCAGTGGTCATGCTACAGCAAAAAAGAGAAACACTCCATTTCTAAAGGCTTAACAGTGGTAGCAGATATTGACCAAACAAAATATTGTGTCGACCTTTTGGGGATTGTGCATCCTGTCAAATTGGTGTTCATCCAACATAACCTTTTCATCAAAAGAAAATATTATATGGTGGTGGAGGTGAAATGATTTGTGTTGCTTCAAAAACATGGAGAACATGACATTATTGATGAAACCATGCATTCTACTTCTTTGCACTGTCTGTAGGGTTAAGTTCAGTAGGACTTATTGAAAACCACACTAGCTAGTCCACTTCCAGTGGGTAAAGTAAAATACCTGACCAAAATTAGGATTTTGGACTCTAGAAAAAGTTGGAACTTAAATTACATTGAGATTCTGGGTCATGACCATAGACTGATCATTTGTGTGCCTCCCCTATGTGACTGAATAAAAAACTGTTCTGCAAGAAAGTGCGAGCCAAGATTCCTCATAGGCAGCCATTACAAATGCCCAATGTTTTTTTTTTGCCACCTACTGTACCATGTTCTACTGGATAATAATTTTTTCACATAGTGGACGAATGATTTGAATAGTTACTGTATTTTTGTAATGAACTTACAGAAAGAAATCAATTTGATTGCGTCGACTCATTGACTCAAAGTCAGTCCCTAACACCAAGCATCCTTGTAGCGACAGTGGAGAGGAAAACTCCCTTTTAACAGGAAGTAACCTCCAGCAGAACCAGGCTCACTGTGAGCGGCCATCTGCTGAGGCCGACTGGGGTTCAAGGAAACAGAAGCAGAGATACAGAAAAGGAAGTACAGATACAAAAGGCAACTGTCAACCGGCTCGACAGGCGGCCGTATCCAGGAAACACATAGCCATACAGATGAGCTCCAAGCCAAGTCCCATGTCAGAGAATGAAAAAGAGCATATACAGTTAGCCATAGTCAGTGAAACAGGACTAAACTGAAAAACAGGCCCAGCTCCAACATCTATAAACAAAGGTGTTGATGGCAGTAGCACAGCTGATATTTCTCTCCCGAATGGTGTCACAACCAAAAAAGAGCAGGCCAAATGAAGCTACTATAAATGAAGCCTAACACAAGACATTGAACTAACAAATTCTGCAGAGTGGGAGAATCGAGACAGAATGAAGAGGATGATGAAAATGGATCCCTCTGTCCTCCAGCAGTCTAAGCCTATAGCAGCATAACTATAGAGATAGCTCAGGGTAACCTGAGCCACTCTAACTATAAGCTTTATCAAAAATGGAACGTTTTAAGCCTAGCCTTAAAAGTAGACAGGGTGTCTGCTTACTGAATAAAACTGGTAGTTGGTTCCACAGGAGAGGAGCCTGATAACTAAAAGATCTGCTTTTAGAAATTCTAATAAACCTGCAGATTGAGAGAAAATTGTTTTATGCTAAGAACAGAATAAAAACATTTTCCCAGCAGTGTAGATCTGTTTATGCGAACAAGTCACCATGTTGTAAATCATGAGAGATGATTTGAAGGCTTGAGCTGTGGCTAATATTATTTATCTTTGTGGCCAGGGTAAGTATCCAGACTATGACTGCAATTCATTATCTCGTTTGAAAAGATCGAAACACCAGTGTTTCTGAGAATGCACAGATATGTGGACATTTGCTGTCTGTTGAGAGTCTGGGGCTCATGTGCACGAGATTATGGTTGTTATGTTCAGCTGCTCAAATAAACCCCTGGACTCCAACTAAAAAAAGCAAACCATGGGGCTCTTTTGTGTTTCTAAAATTTCGGGTCAAATGTTTGAAATGAAGAGAATGAATTCAATCTTCTGCAACTAATACGCCCATAAAAAAAAAAAATACTAAACAGTAGATTTCTCTTGCTCCTAACTATATTCATAAACATTAAAATAGAGAATTCGCAAGACTATAAACATTTAAAGATTTCCACAGTAAACACTTTTCCAGAGATAATTTAAATAATTTCTAATTCTTTTTCTTTAATATTTTCCCAGCTGTAAACACTCCGTACGTTCCTCTGCTTTCATGGAAAAAGGCCCAGGACTCTGTCCCGTGGAATATTATTCTCTTGCTTGGAGGCGGCTTTGCAATGGCCAAAGCTTGCGAGGTAAAGATTCTTGTTTTTCCCCAAATTAGCCTTGTACTTTAAATCTATAGACTATTTGTTATCATAGCATGCTTGCCTTGTCTTTTGTTTCTATACTAACCTGACACACTCAATAGTTTGTTGCAGCTTAGAAGTAACACCTAAAAATATGAGTAATTTTGACTTTATAAGATCCACAGAATAAAAAAAGTTAGTTTTTAAATGTTTGGAGGAACTGGATTTTAGAGGTGGGCGATACCGGGAATTTTTCATCGATACAAAACGAAGTAAATACAGGGTCAGTATTGCTGATATTGATAGGATACTTTTTAATATTTAAGCTTGATGTATCTTGGAACTGTTGACCTTTCATTGTTTCTGTGATTTGTATTTTATTTTAACAATTTAATTATAATAGTATTAATAATGTTATGTTCATAGTGTTTTTTCCTAATCCATCTCTTATATTATTATATTCTTTCATTCTTATGTAATTTTGTTTGCATTGTGTGTACCTGTTGCTTTAATTCAAAAAAATGTCAACATTTTGGGATAAATAAAGGATTAGATAATGTCAGCCTGCTTATAAAACACGTTTTAATGGGTAAATGTACTGGCTTCCTTCAAGGTCTGTTACAACCCCCCCTTAAGACCACTAAGGGTAAATCCTGGCACTGGGTGTAAAACAAACGTCAGTAAACTAAAAGGTGATGTCAATAGCAAAACATAATTTATTTCACAATTTGCAGGAGTTCACAAATATAGAAGACAGCAAAACAGGGAAGCTTTAAGCCTCAGGGTCTCTGAGGCCAAAACAACAAAAAGCCCCCCCCCCCCACACACACACACACACACTTATAAAATAAACAACTTTCTAACAGAAAACTGAAAAGAAAGTACAATACCTGAACTCCGCGTCTAACTGCGAAACAAGGAGAAAACAGTTAAACACAAATGGCAGAGAACCCCTACCAGCTTCCACTGTGAACAGAAAAATGTTTTATTTAGCCAATTATTCAACATGAACAGTAACACTCAGCTCACAGACAAGATCACTGCAGATCAAGCCTCAGGAAATAAGAGAAAGAAGGGGCCTGACATCTCAGGTTTGAAGCTCTTTATGGGGTGGCTGATGAGCTTCAACACATTGCACCTGTAGCAGCCAGGTAGACCTGAAACACAAAGAGAGAGCTCTCTCATGAGGCGATCTCCTAGAGGTCAGTGACCGTAACAAGGTCTTAATTTCTGAATGGGTTCCAGTAACATACATATAATATCTAATTTGAAAGTTAATATGAATCGCTTCTGAAGATGATCACTCTTATCTAATGGATCAATCACGTCTGTCTGAGGGTTGAGGATCTGTTGGAGCATGGAGCAAAGTTTCATCTCTCTGTTTTTGTCGCCCGACGTTAGAGGGGGGGGGAGCAGCAAAGCACTGTGACACAGACGGGGTGACTGGTGAATAGGCTGCACTTAGTGTGTGCCAGAGAGAATAAAAAGTATTGATTTTGTTAAACAAGTGTTGTTCAATATCAATACCAGCGTTGGTTTTGATAGTATCGATCCTTGGATTCATCCGCCCACCTCTACTGAATATTACACTGGAAAAAATCTAAATCTAAATAAGTAATTTTTCTCTTAAAATAAGTGTATTTGTTCTTGAATTGAGGAGGTAAAAGAGACATCTTGCCAATAGAAAAAGACAATTTACATTCAAAATAAAAAAACACAATTGCATTGTCTTATTTCAAGTGCATTTTATCTAAATATCTTATTTTAAGGGTAAAAATATGCATTCCATTGGCAAGCTACCTCATTTACCTACTCAAATTAAGGGTAAATACACTTAATTTAAGACATTTTTGCTTGTTTCTAGATTGTTTTGGAGTGTACTAATCAGTCCAGGGCCTACTTGGAAAAATTCTTATTTAGTAGAGAAACGTATTTTTAATGGAGTTATCCAAATGGAACTATGGAGTTATCTTCTTCCTTTTTTATGAAGCAAAATTAATAGAAGGTATCTCATTTATTCAATTGAAAACAGAGTTTTTTATATATTGTATGCAAAATATAATTAAATAGTTTTACAAAAATGCCTGGTACATGTAGACTAAAATGTATCTGTTTATGCAGCGTATTAGCAAAAATAAGTAGATTTAGGAGTTAGTCAACCTTTATTTTGAGCTATTTTTGTTAGACAGTAAGCTCTAAACAGCTTGGTTTAGTGCAATATATTCTGGATGTCTAGTTGCTTTATTTATATGACAGATTAGGTCCTCATCTGCTGCTCATTTTAGTGTTTGTTAGATCTATTGTGATATTAATATTCTTACTGCATTACCTCTAGTCAGCTTCAATGGAAACGTCAACAAACAATCAACATTGAAAATCTAAGTCGAGTAAAACACTTTTTTTTCCTCTAGCTGATCGAATGAGTCATTATCCTTACTTTCTCTGTTGGTTGTGCTTTCACTGGTCCTCTATCAAATATAGTTTGTTGTCTTTTTATTTGATCCTTGACTCCTAACCTAGATATTTTGGTATTTGGCAGGAGTCTGGCCTTGCCTCCTGGATTGGAGGCCACCTCCAGCCTTTGGCTGAAGTTCCCCCAGCTGTAGCTGTGATGTTGATCACTGCTTTCCTTGCCTGTTTCACAGAGTTCGCTAGCAACACTGCCACTATTATAATATTTTTACCTGTCATTGCTGAGCTGGTAAGATTAAATTAAATATGAGCACATCTCTCTGTGTATATATGTCCTCTCCAGGATCTACATCTGTTCTATAATTACAATTGGTAACTGCAGTAATGGAAAGTATTGCACGTGTAGTCTTTATCTATTGCAAGTTAGTATAAATGCACTGGTTATAATAATAATGAGGTAAAAAAAAAAGGATGCTCCTGTTAAAACACACTGCAAACCAATTTAGTGAACAATGGCCAAGGTCAGATGCAGCGATTCCTCTTATTGAGGGTCCAGAAGGCTTGCTAAACTCCAGCAATAAATGTCTTCGTGTTTGTAGGCTGTTGGACATTAACTGCTGCTGTTATAGTAATGATTATCGAGAGGGTTTTACTGCATTGTGTAATTCTGACTTTGCACAAAACATTGACTGCAGAATAGCTTCAAGAATTTAAGCTTAAAATTGCAAACCCATGCTGAGTTGTATTTCCTGAATTGGTTATTTTCAGATTTATATTTTCTTTTTATGTTTTGAATTGAATACCTTGAAATGGTATTGATGGGAAATTTTAAAGTTTGGGACTGTCTCTGCAGGCAATTCGTGTCTCAGTGAATCCTTTGTACTTCATGATCCCTGCCACAGTGGGATGTTCATATGCCTTTATGCTCCCTGTGTCCACACCACCCAACTCCATTGCATTTGCATCCGGACATCTCTTGGTCAAAGACATGGTAATATTCTCTCACTGACTCTTGACGTTATTCTCTTTAAAGACCAGCAGTCCTCATGCTTTCCATCTCTCTTTTTACAGGTGAAAACTGGATTTGTAATGAACATCCTGGGGATCCTCTCAGTCTCTCTAGCTATGAACACATGGGGCATTGCCATGTTTAACCTGAGCACTTACCCAGAATGGGCCCACTCTATCAACAATACTGCTGCTGTTCACCTTTCATCTATAAAATCATTCAATGCCACACTCTGATGATATGACTGCAGACTGTATATAGGTTTAAAACTAAAACTTTCCATGGACGTATCTGTTTTTAAATGTCTGTATTGTTGCTGAAACACCCCAATTTCCTGTTACGGCTGTTACCTAGCTTTAAGAACTTCATTGGAGTGTGTGCTCACTTTTCAAATAATTTTAAGAAACCCTTATGTGAATGTGTTTTACCAAATCCTGCATTTTCATACGCTGTATTCTTTTGCCTTTACATATAATGTGTGATATCCCATTCCCAATCAAAGGTTTGAAATGTACTGGTATCTCTTTGCAGCCAAAACAGCTTTAACTCCTCTGTAAAGGCTAACCATTAGTTTTAGTGTGTTTTTATAGAAAATCTTTCCAGATGCCCATTTGTGGGATCAGACACTGATGTTGCAGAGGTTAGCCTGGCTCCCATTGTCTGCTCTGATTAATTCTTAAGGTTCTATCCTGCTACTGTCAATTCTGTTCAAAGTGATCCACATTTATTAGCTTACTGAAACAGCACCTGCCTCTAAATCCCTCTGCACAAAACTTTATTAATGCTGAAAGGAAATTTGCTTACAAATATTTTCTGCTTGGAAAATGAGAAACTCGTTCTGCAGGTTTCATTCTCTGGGCAGCTTTTCCACTTGTACCAAATATTCTGGCAAGCTCCGGGGGGGCTTGTACAGCACAAACCTCAAGATTACAACACCACACTAAATGAGGAAGTAGAAAACAAAGCAGACTTATATAAAGCCTTCTTATGTCATCAAAGAGTCAGTCATTGTCCAAGAGATTTTCACATGGTCCTAGCAGACACGTCAAGCATAAATCAAGCTTTAGTCCAAAAAAAAAGAAGAAAAAAACAGAGCAGACAATAAATAAATGCACTTAAGATAAATAGGAGTTTGGAACCAAAAGTGGTTTAGGAGTTTGTTTAGGATGTAACACACACCCAAAAAACAAACCCTCAGGTAATCTTAATGATCCATCCATTTTCTCCCACTTAGTCATTGTCAGGGTCATGGTGGGGCTGGTTCCTATCTCCAGCAGTGTACGGCGATAGGTGGGATACACCCTGGACAGGTCGAATCTTAATGATGTCTACTGAAAATTTTTCATATCACTTTAACTTGGTTATAATACCACAAACAGTTATCCGGGGTATGTTCAGTATTGAGAATAGTTCACAATCTCATTTATTCTACAGGTGGCATTCCATCAGGATACCACGTTAAAAAAGCAATTAAATCTTTTTTTTTGCTCTAATGCTTGTTGATGCAGTACCCATGACAAATGTTGGATTTTATACTTGAGCTCATTAAAGTCGTTGCAACACTGATAAGGATGGAGGAGCCATAAACTTATCAGTATCGTTAATTTAAATTCTGCAAAAACAAGGTCGAACACTGTTTGAAGACAAGAAACATGTGTGAATAGCTTTTTTAAACCATGTATTGGTTAAATTCACTAAGAGATTATGTTTTTGTAGGTGAATTATGTAGCACACAATTAACTTCACCTAAAAAAAAATCTTTACCCATTGTGTTGATAAACGCCAATATCTGTGTCTGTACATTTGTTTTATAGTGACCTACATTTGTGTAATTACATTTAATAAACTATTGATTTTCTCATTGTGATTTACACAGATTTTATCTGTCAAAAGTATGTTTTAATGTTTTAATAATTTCTTTTTGTTTTACACTTGTGTAAAGAAATTATAAATAAATTTGTCTAAGTCTAAATAGAACGACAAAGAATATCCAAGTTGTTGGCTTCTAAGAAGGTTTTCACACATTCTGACACATTTCACCAAATGGCTGTAAACCTGTGTTTGTTCAGTGTTGTAAGGGGTTATTATGAGTCAGACTTTGAAGTCACAAGGCCTTACAGCAATGGTTAACTTCTACAAGATCGTAGAGGTCATGCCGTGCAGTGCTCTGCTTCAGCAGAGAGCTTTTAATGTTTACAAGAAAAACGAGAAAATATTCAACCAAAAACTTTAAAGATTCAGTAAAAACAGAAACAGCAGTCTTGGATAAGAAACGTGTAAAAAGTTGACAGTCGTATTATGAATAAACCCTTAAATGATTTTTGGTTTGACAAATCAATAAAAGAATTATACAAATTCTCCCAACATTGTTACAAATGATTTTTTTTTATCTACAACACAGTTGTAGTATTTGCCTTTCGAAGACCATACTTTTCCAATTCTTCTTAATTTCATTGTAAGTAGGAACTGGGATTTATATAGCAGAAATTAACGAAAAATATTTCAACTTTACAGAAACAATTCAGTCAAACCATTCAGAAAGATTTGTTAAGGGTTTTCCATCAAAGGAAAACCAGCTGATCAAATCCCGTTATTAATTTTGCAGGATTCACCCTCCTGAATGACCATATGTAACCACAGTAGACATTTGCTTGCTTTGGTTTGTTAACTTTACAACTATCTCTCACACCAGCCATGCATGCAGTGATAGTAGAGAGAAAAAACTCACTTTTGACAGCAAGGAACCTTAAGCATAAGCAGGGTCAGTGTGAGTGGCCCTCTGCCTTAGGCTGGTGAGGGTTCAAGAACTCAGAAGCAAAATAAAGAGAGAAGCACTGATTCATAAATACTTTCTTTGTAAGAAAAGCTAATGTTAAACTAGCTCCATAGCTGGCTCTGTCCATGACAGCTCTTAGCCAGTATTCCTGTCTTTAATAAATTTGCATAAATATAAAAATTTTTTCAAGTAAAAAGGAGGTAACCCCAGTCTTTTTCTGAATGCCGATGATGTAATAATGAAACGTCTTTTTAATGTCGTCCTAAAACATCTGTAAATGGATGCTTCTCTTTGGAACCCCTTTTTCAGGTTTTCAAACTACAATTTTCACACTGCTTTCCTGTATAGAATAGAATAGAATTCCGCTTTATTGTCATAACATTGTCACAAGTAAAAAGCGCGAGATTCACTCTCTGCTTGTGCGGTGCCTATATATATATATATATATATCTATATATATATATATAAATATATATATACATGTATCTATCTATATCTATATATATATATATAAATATATATATATATATATATATATATACACATATCTATCTATCTATATATATATATATATATATATATATATATATAGAGATAGATATATAGATATAGACATATATAGATATATATATCCATTTTCCTTTTTTGAATAAGATATGCTTTTACTGTGCATTTAGGTCCATATAAAAAATAAGGAGACGGACGAAGTAAGAGCTTCATGGTAACACCTTTTTTCAGCTTTAAAATGTTCCTACCTTGTTAATTTTTAAATTCCTTTGTAACATATTTGCATTATCTCTGCCTTGTAGAAAAAATATTTCTACTTTTAGCTCTGCCGTAGTAATTTATTTACCAAACAAGTTCAACCGCTTCTTTTTGTGTTCCCCTTGCCCCAAGGTATTTGTATCCATACATATACATTGTCTATCCTTTTTTATATATTTATGTGGGCTTTTGAGCTAGTGGTGCAATCAAGAAGGTAGGATATATCATAGGTCCACCAAGAACAGAGATGCTGTCCCAAAAAGATTTGCTCACCTATTTTTGTGGGGAGATTTTATTTCCCTTAAATGCTTACTTTTAATGCATCACTATCTATCTATCTATCTATCTATCTATCTATCTATCTATCTATCTATCTATCTATCTATCTATCTATCTATCTATCTATCTATCTATCTATCTATCTGTCTGTCTGTCTGTCTAAGAGGATAGGAACTTCTTAAATATAAGCCCTAAGTTGCACCTCTGGGCTTCCCCACTGGTTCTTTTCCTGGGAGTTACTTACTACTCTTAACTCAAACTGGGTAAAACCATATAAAAAAGGACTATAAAAACAGGAGTAAAAAAGTAACAGAGTTATTCCAGATGAGGTCGTTACAGGACAGAGAAAATGCTTGGAGCTTGCACAGCTGTGGGCTCAAAAAATCACGTCCGCGAACGTCTGGCAAAGATTGAGCCCGGAACAAGGTCATCTTCTCCTTCTTATAACTCATGAGTCTATGTATCGGATCATGTGGATGTTTAGCTGAGAGTATGAGAAACTGACACGCCATCCATGCCCTGACCTGTATGCATCTTGCTCTATGCCCAAGATTACAGATACATCTCCTCTATCAGTCCGGCTCCAAGATGTGCCCATATTCTGTGTATCTTTAAAAGACAAGAAGGCTGTCCTATTTAGATGACCTACTTACACAAAGTGACATCCACAATGTAAAGGACGGCCATCTGCTCTCTCTATCTGGCTAACAAACTAACAATGCACATGATGTATAAAAGAATAAACCTAACAATATATATATATATATATATATATATATATATATATATATATATATATATATATATATATATATATATATATATATATATATATATATATATATATATATATATTTATTATATACCAAAACCATTTTCTCCTCCTAAGGCCAAGGTTGAACAGATTGAGGAAATCTCCAAAAAGGGTTGCTATCCAAACTCCCCCAGCCAGGATGTTAAGGAGGCCGTTTGGCCAATAGGCTGAGACAACAATCAGAGACTCCCCCACTATCCAAAGAGATGCAACCCTCTCATCCACCTGTGTAAACTCCAACACAAGACACCTGAGCTGAGACAAGGATGTCCATCCCAGTTTTCTGGCTCTCCCCAAACTGAACTCTTTTCTACTCTCCAGAATAGAAGAGATTCTTTCCTCTCTTACCCATAGCGAGATAAGATTCTACATTCTTAAGCGACTGAGGATCAGGTCACAGGTCCCTAAGGGAGAAACTCGACTTTCAGACACTTTCCAATGAACCACATTCCAAGGCCTGACTCCAGGATGAAATCCCAACTCCTAACTCACTGAGCGATGTTATGCACCTTGATTTTCTGGTCATCATAAGGGCTTCTTAAACTGTTCTTTGTCTGACCTGTCACCCAGAGCTCCTTTGCCTTGGCAGTCCCTACCTGGCACAATTAAGCTCGGGGTGAGTCTGGGATCATCAGAGTATTGAAACCCCTCCCCCATTTTTAGTTGGTAGTCGAAGGAAGGATCCTAAAGTAACATTCAGGAAGTAAAAAAACAATAAATTATGCTGTTGGTCAATGGCGTCATCACATTCTAATCATCTTGAAACTTGTGTCATCTTGTGTTTTACCAATCAGCTGTTA